CGTGGACGTAACGTTCCATGCATTATTAACCTAACCACTAGATTCAGACGAGTGTTGTGCTTCAAGCTTAGGCTTCTTTACCCACTTGGAAATAACCAAAGGTACCAGTGAATCGAATCGAATCGAATCCCGACCGCAGTTACTTAACACGCCAAGTTATCCCGGCTAGAAACAATGACGGAGAAACTACGTCCAAAATCTGCCTACGAAATTAATACAAAAACGAATGAATAGACCACGTAACGTTTAAAGTTGTAGGAAAAGTGTTAAAAAGCTTCATTCACAGAACCTAATTCTTCATAATCTATGAAAATTTGTACAAAACGAAATAGCGACGACATATTAAATGTTCGCTTACGGCTGCCATGAAACACTATCACCAGGGCAGTTCAATCACCCACCAGCTCCCGATGTAGGTAATAAAGCGGTCTTCGAACTCCACGGTATCAAAACTGTCACACATGAAAGTTGGCATGGCGACTGACCATAGGCCAAAGTATTTCTAATATGGAAAGAAATGCTCTTACGTAAGTTAAATGATACGAAAATTAGGACGCTGTAACAATACAAAGCCACCAGGGGAAACTACTCTTGGAAGACCGGAAACAAATCATTATGATAACCACACAATACAACACAGACAATTGTTACGCCTCATAAATCTAATGGAAGTATTCTAGGCGGATTTTAACAACATTTTGTGTGGACATTATGCTACCGGAGGCTGCTCCAGTCTCGTATTCCTATTCTATTAATATTCTGCAACCAGTAGTAACAATATGGCGGACGCTCAAACATAAATGGGAGGAATGACGTGTCGTATAGTCTGGCAGATACTAACCGACGTTTCGGATTCGCTTACTGCCTCCATCATCAGGGAGATGCGACATCTGAACATTGTAGAGTGTTCGTGTGTGTGTGAGTGAAAGACAAATACAGGAACGGCGAGAGAAAAGTGAAAGGGGGGAACTCAACTGTTAAGCCGAAACTCACATAGATAATATTTAAAGATTCAGTTCCTACCGCAGAAAAAGGCTTGGCATAGGCCAGAATGTCCTGCTTTGGGCGGAATTCCCAATTCTGTACACATACATTAACAACAATCGATGTTGTCGATATGTGGTATTTCGATAACTGAGCACTTGACTATGTGAGGAATTCCCCTGTTGTTCCCAACTTGTGAAAGTTCACAACCGCCGCAATAAAAAAGGTCTACAGCCACTGCATTCTATCCTGCACCAGCAGAAACCACATTCTACCTCATGATGCGGACCGAAATGTTGAGTGCAGCTCAAAACGCAGTGCGGGTTCGGTCAAAAATCCGTTTGTTCGACCCAGTTCACATTTCCATCACATTTACACTTCAGTCGCATCTTACCATATCTGAACGTCTTGTTTCTCCCATCAAAGCTACTGCACATTCCTCAGCTCGCCTTTTTTACCACGACACCGACTGTGCTCATTAAATGAACTCGGAAAGTTGTCAGTCGTTAACGCGACTGGCTATGAGATGAAGTACCAGGTTCGACTTCCGACAGGGAAACGAATTATCTTCGCCTAGTAAGCTACTCCAATCTCGTACCCAGTGCCTGGGCCTATTTGCCTCACTGTAAAGGGGCCGTAACATGACGCCGTCACTCACCTACAACTAATGTCGAGATTTAGAAGGTGTTCAGTTTTCTTCTCCGACCTGCACCATGTTGGCCTGCGTCTTCATATTACGGTGCTTAAGCCAGCCGACTTATCTTTTGTCAGCGGTTACTAAAACATTATTCATAGCGCTACAATGATTCTTTGGTTCCAAAAATCAGCACAACAAAGAATGGGATGGACTGGGCACGTATAACACATGGGGCTGAATTAGCAAGGAACACGGCACTTTCAAAGCTCAAGGGAAGACACCATTTGCGAGACCTAGAAGTAAACGTGAGGATAATATTAAAATGGTCTTAGATTAATAGGCTAACACCATTTGCGAGACCTAGAAGTAAATGTGAGGATACTATTAAAATGGTCTTAGATTAATAGGCTGCAGATGTGTTTTTGGACAAATGATGGGTTTCAATGTCGGGTTTTGTAAATACCAGGTTTCAATAAAGCGAATAATTTCAACAGCTGTGCAACTATCTGTTCAAGGTGGGTTCTGGAACATGGACTTCGCTGACTGGTCAGTTACACCTTGCCCCAGATCAGGCGGCCAGTCACCGGCTTCCCAACCCGGAGGCCCGGGTACAATGCACAGACAGCCCAAGTGGAATCTGCGGTGGACGAAGTGACATTGGGGCATGAGCCTTTCGGTTTCCTCCCGCCGATGATCATCGCGGCAATTTTCCACGCTCACTTTCAGCAACAGCAACACCGGTACAGTGGGGCCATGAAACCGATTCTGGTTCACTCCACTCCGTTTCCAGAATAAACTGAACGATTCGACGCCGTTCCGCGTCGACAACTTTAGTGAATCAAGTGTCAGTCGTGTAGTATATAAATAGCGTAAGCAGGCGGAAGCCGGAAGTACTGTCTCTTAATACAAAAGTGTTTGTGCATCAGCACAGCCTCGCAACGGCGACGGACGGCCTGTATGAAGTAGAGGCTCTCAAGCCGTATTCTTGATACCGGGGCAGTTTCCCGTAAAACTTGTTTCACATTCAACCCAAATTCCGGTTTAGACCATTTTTCCTCTATCTCAACTAGTCTTCTTACCTAGTACCATAAATTTCGTATGATGATGTAATTTCCATGTGCGTGCTACACTACCCGCCAGTTCACATTATTTGACACAATCACCTAAACATATTTTATATAAAGAATACAAATCATGCGGCCTATTGAATAAGCAGTCACAGACAGCCGACAAGGGGTGGTCCTCCTGCTTGGCGGAATGGACAGAAAGGTAAATATCCTCTCGCCTGAACAAACCAGCGCGTCGAAATTACTTGAAATTAATATTGTTTTCACATCTACACGAGACTTTATTATGAGATATGTATCATTTGGCTATATGTTTAGACACGCGTATGCTATCTCCTGGCCATCAAACCTTTTGACTTCGCCATTGTTTTGAACGCGAAATTACATATATTATAACTTGACTAAATGTCTCCATTTGTTAAAATACACATTTAAGACGCAGGTACGAGGACGTCAAGGGAAAAGACCCCTCGAGGGACTCAGATGTGTGTATGGGAGGGAAGTTGACATTAAAATGTATTTTAGAGAATTATGTAGACTGGATTCATTTGGCACAGGACAGGGACCCGTAGCGGAATCACGTAAACACGCCAATGAACACTCTGGTTCCACAAAAGGCATACAATTTCGGAATTAGCCGAGCGAGTATTAGCTTATCGAAAAGCACTTTAGTCTATGGCGCTATTGGTATTAAAACCTACAACAACCAGTCCTTTGGAACCTTAAGATGCATCGCTAACGGCGTTTTCAGTAGTCTACCTGTTTAGTGAACTATCATTTAATCTATCCAGATAGTATGGCCTGCAGCAATGAAGTACCGATGGCAATGCTTTTTCATCGTCCCGACATTCTTCACTCACGTAATGTAACGCGTAAATGCTGCTGCTTGTACATGGTATGTGTTTTAGAATGAAATGGAGTCCACTCATTCATCAGAACGACTTCATTCAACTGTTTTATCGTGCCGGATTGTGGTTTCATTACGCGTTATCTCGTCTCTCTAACAAAAAGCTGTGACACAAAGAACGTGTATGGATTTACAAACGCATCATTCAGTAGCGTTAGAATCCTGTTTTCAAGCTACAGTAGAAATCGTAGTGTAATTGTTAATAAATAAGACACGGGCCTTCAGACGATGCATTTTAAAAATACATGATCATGTGTCCGATATTGCGAGTGGAGAATTCACATTACGATTATAGCCTATACGTAAAATGAATCAGAATATTTTTCATACATGCGAAGAAGGTTTGCATTCCTTCGCATACCAGAAGTCACCGGTCAAAATTTCGGTCGGTGAGGATGTCCTAAATTAAGATGTATCCTTTTCCTATACACGTATATGTATGTAGTAGGATATATACCCTTCTCGTTAATTACGTATCATTACTTTCTTTCCTCAAAACTTCTGTATTTATTTATTACAGTGCTACGATCAAATGTCTTTCTTTTCGGAGGAGAGAAATACAAAAGAAAAATATAAATTCTATGAGCTGTGGCTGGCAGAAGATCGACAGTAAAGGATATGTAACATGGTAAATTGTTTAAAGAAAATTCGTAGGAGCTCGGCAGCGAATGGCGAATTCGCGATCCTATACTGTAAGTTGGATATACAAACTAAAGTTAAGACATCGCATTGCAGTATCCCAATTCTGCAACAATTTGAAACTCCGAATTTCATTAATTTCTGAACACGAACTTACGGAAGAGCTCATGACGCCTCATTTCTGGACCTTGAAAATTAGGATTCGTTGGACATAAAGTGTTTGTTCTCGGCCCTCGATTGTTCAGTATTAATGAACAACTTAATGGGCACGAACTTCCATTGTCCATCCCCCAGATGTTACACGAGTGAATATGGAACAGCGGTGTAATTATAGTCACAGGGGAAAGCTGAAGAACTCAGAGAAAAGCCTATCGTAATGACACTTCGTCCACATCATATTCCACTTGAATGCTCTACGCGCGAACACGGGGCTCCGCAGTGAGAAGCGGACCAATAGCCTCCTGCGTCGTCGCACGGCCAACTATTAGTCTATTATTAGCGTCATAGGCAAACCGAAACGTCATCCATGGTGAACAAGAAACATTAAGCCGAAGGCTGTCTTCTGGGTTGTTACGCCGTGTAGTCTGGTACAAATTAACCGATGTTTCAGAGGCCCCTGCTGCCTCCATCATTACGGCGATGTCACTCTGATGGAGCGAGCAAGGACCTCTGAAACGTCGGTTAACTTCTACCAGACTACACGGCGTAACAACCCAGGAGACAGCCATCTTTAGAATCACCGCCGTAAAAACCGCAAATCCTACAAGAAATATTCAAATCCGTGAAGGCAAAGGTCATTTTTAAATAATCGAGCTTCATGCGGGGGAAGACGCAAATACGAATAAAGTGTTCACCTTGAGCGCTGCAAGGAGAGGAGGTTTAGAAACCAAGGTAAACACATCAGGAAATAAAATTACGTGGCAATGCTGTCAATACATTTACAGATAACAACTAAGGGCGTTAATAGAGACAGCATAACCCAGTGTAACTTGAAGATACACTAGAAAAAGAACTGAAGGTCGCGACTGAGTAGTTAGCACTCCTGCAACGTATTCGGGAGGCCCAGGGTTCAAATCTCACACCGCAGAAGAGCTATCCTACCTGAAGGACTTCGTGCTTGGTTATTTTTGTCCAGCCAGGCAAACGCCTGGATGCCACAACCGCTTCCTTCCACCCTCTTTACCAATCATTATTTATTAATCATCCTATCCTTCGACGCTATTCCTATTTGTCGGAGCTCCTGAAAGCGTCGTTAAATGAACCACCACAAAATAAAAACCAGTATGAATCACAGGTTGTGCTATTTAAAATACAACCCAACATGAATCAGGTACAACGGCACAGAAGCAGGTCCACCTCCGTGTAACACACTCCCAATCTACAAATTGACACTCGAGTCTACGACGTTGCTCACGCCAGTTGGGCAGAAGCTATGCAGGTACGAACATGGTGTATTCACGAGTACACTGTCCGTTCATTCTCGCATCAAAATCGTATGCTGCTGTTCGCGAAGCATTTGGCAACGCGTATCCTGACAAGAAGTACCGAATGGTAACAAATCTTCGGGACACAGGTTGTCTGTCTGTGACAAATGCTAGGTAACATGCACAAAGTTCCTCGATAAGTAATACACGTCATACCCCACTTCCTTCTTTCACAATTTCTGTCACATTATAATCTGGTCAGTTATTGCAGTGGACGGAATCCAATGCGTGCGTTACTACGTCACTGCGTTACGTAAAAGTTAATCCAACGTTACCCCTGTTCCTAAGCACCGGGCCACGAAGTCCTTCCACATCTCACTACTAGAAGGAAATGTGTGGTCAGCATCACACCCCAGCCGTTTTACCCCGTGGAATGAGACATCGGTATCCTTCGGAGAGGAGTAAAACAGAGAAGTGAAAAATCCCAAACACTGCAAGGTACCGAACCCCGGGTGTCGAGCTTGTAGCCAGCCATGCAGACATTCATATCTTGTAAATGTATTTTGTCATCTCTTGTATTTTTTTATTCTTTCTCACGTGAGAAACACGACCTGCCCAAAACAGGTTGGATTGCCTCACCTCACGGCAACTATCCAGTTTCTTCTAGCCGGCAGATGGTCGTCGCTACACACTGGTGCTGCGCCCAGTACGGCACACTGCCTGCGTGTCTAATTTCATTACGAACTCATTCAACAGTCGTACATTTTGAAATTAAAACGTGACCTCTTAACATAGAAACAACCTACTTTGAGTTCGGTAGCTGGGAATAAACTCCATTTAATAAAAACTGATTTTATTCAATTTCTCATTCAAACATAAGATCAAACATTCGAGATGTCACCATCTACTTTTAAAAGAAACTCGTTTGAGATTTTATTACTTTGATTAAAGGTCTGTTGCCCTCAGAAAGGCATCAAAGTTCTCAATCATGATGCTAACCGGTGGAATGTTCTGTTGTATAAGTTATGCTGCCATTGCATAGCTTTTAGAATTATAATGTGGGTGATGAAATTTTTGAAATAACGTGGTACGTCGCACCGCTAATATTTTTCGCTGTTTTATGTTGCAAGACATGGGACAGGAAAACGAGAGGAAACAGGGAACGAGAAGAGGAACACAGAGAACAAAGGAGAAGAAGAAAAGGGGTAACGGATGAAGATGCGAAAGAAATAAGTTCTGCTGAACTTTAACTCTCAATTCCAGGACCCTACAACTGGAACTAGTGTCGCTCCCAGCTCAAGACGACTGAATGGTCGCAGTGTTGGATTACCACCGTTGGCAAGAAATTATGAAATACTGGAAGGTGGCCTCTAGTAGCAGTGTGTTCATACCAAATTTCATGAAGTTCGTCAACTGATTAAGGGGGTGGCGTGAAGACGGTCATAACGGTATAATAAATGCATCCATCTTTTCTTATGAAATGAGGAAACTAAGTTTAAAAGTTAAACATTCCACCACACCTTTATCCGAAATACAATCGTAACGATTTTGCAGTTATTGATAAATCGGACCCTGCGACACTCCTGCTGGCTTACAAAGGTTATAGCACCTAGAACTTTCACTTGTTAATCACCCAATCAGGCTAAAGGTAACAGGCAGACATGTGTAGAACTATGGCCTACTCCACTAATGTTAAACAGACACCCTCCCTGTAACACAGCAAGCTGTACTTGATTCAGCAATATATGGCTGTGTTATAAATCTTATCCTTCCAGGCGCATTCGCAATCCTACGGAGGCCCTATTAAAATGATGTTTGTAATGGTGACGTTGTTTTCTTTGCGGTAGGAACTGTATTTTCATTTAGGAACTCTGGCCGTCACTCCGTCTACTCTGCTGGCTCACATTCCATGTAGCTCACATGTCCTCCCCCTCCCAATTTATACGACAGTCAGAAGTAGCATCTACAGGCAACAGGGTGAATCCGTCAGTATTCCTACACTGTGCAAATATTTCCTAACTTCTTTGTGCAGGAGTATGAACTACAATACTGAAATGTACAAAATGATATTTACTCTTCTATTATCTACCCACACAATTTCTATCCCATCAAGGCAATTAATAAATAGATTAAAATTCATAATTCACTGAAGTACACGTTTTCCACAAGTGTTCTTTACCGTTTTATATTCCCCAATGCTCTTCGTGTTCATTTACTGCAGACAAAGATCTACAGTAGTGAAACTAATTACACAGCAGTCAAAAATTAGTTTTCTTCTATTTCCTAAAATATTACCCATACAAAAGAAATGTTCCAAATAAAAGTTGCACGTCTTCATGAGATCCATGTGTATTTATGCCATGCAGTAATGTTTTGTATAATGGGTAGTCTTTTAAAAATGTAATTCACTTTGGACTTTATGAAAAATATACAGGCCTGTTGTAACTAACTTGCACAAATTCAATTTAAATGTCACTGTAGCCTTCACAATACCAAATGTCATTACAATCTGTCCACTAGTTGCAGAGATAAAACATGCAAATGGACAAATATAACCTCTTTCATTATGTATTCTACAATATGTGCAAAGATCACATAAAAGGTAGAATACAGTAGGTTTTTTAAATATATACATGAAGCAAAAATGTGTATGCGTCATGGTGCAACGTGACTTTACAGGTATAAGTTAGGCAATTCAGCATGAACCAATGTTCACACAAATACCTCACTATACAGACTATGTGCATATGAATATTAAATATATTCAGGGTACTTAATAAATTGATATCATTAAACATCAGCATAATAGGTGGAAACTTACCGGTAATAAGTTGTTTTATTCAAAAGCAGAAATGAAGCCTTCAAGTGTCTTAATTAATGACCATAAACCACATTACTGCAGGTTACTTTGCTATCATAGTAGATGCTACTGACAAGTGACAGTTAACTACAAAACCTGAAAAGTTTCATGAATTTCCTACTACTACTACTATGGCGTAACAGCCCAAAATCGAGCCCTAGCCTCCTCTCATGAATTTCCACAGATCAATTAAAAATAACAACTTAACAGAAATAATTTCTTTCACTGTATTCACAATTTCTCATAAATCTGATTATCATTAGAAATACCAAGAATAAAATAGAAAAAATATGGTCATTTATGTTCATCTCTTTGATCCTGTAAGTAACAGCTCATTTTCACATTCTTAAAAAGAATGTTTATTTTGTTATTATCAACATCCTTCCCAATATTAGGCTCATCTGGAATGTTATTGGTACTACAAAGCAGAATCATTCTATCCTCTACAGATCCACGCGTGTCTTCTACCTTTGGAATGATATTTCTAACATTTTCTTTCATGTGTGCATGGTAAGATTTATTTGATGAACAAGAACATTACTTTATATTCAGAGAACACGAACGCAGAAACACAACATGTAACATCACATAAAATAATTCACAAAACAAAATTTTTTGTATCAAGATACCATGTGGTTATAATCAAATGATCACAACTGGTAATACATCCTCAGTATGCTTTTGTGTCAATTATTATAATCTGGTTTCAATTACTGATACTGCAATTCAAATCTCCCTTTCTGATGTGTCTGTTTAGGACTGATTTCTGTAACTATGAGCTGTTTTTTGCAAAATGTTTTCACACTTCCCCGAACAACTCCTCCATGAATGAAAGAAGCAGTAAAAACTAGCAAATTTGGTCAGGTTAGAAACATTTAAGTTATGGAAATATTTCTTGAATTGTAAGTGCATGAAGTAAGCCTGGATGTCTCAGCCATAGTTGCTATGGGCTAGATCCCTGGGTTTGACACATCTCTCAGCAATTACATCTGCACCACTTCTGGGTCTTGCACAAGACTTTGTTGCATTCTTTATCCATTATAGAACCTCAGACTTTACATAATGAACAGACAGATCTGATAAATATAACAGATAATATACTACAGAAAGCCATAAACCTCTTAAACATTTCAAATAATAGTGAAACATCTTAAAGACATCAACAATTTATAACAATTGTAATATTTCTTCAGTGGTCAGTCTTTCAAGAATTCTAGCAGTGCTAGGAAAATATTACTTGGAAGATGTCTTACCTACTTCATTATCTGAAGACCATGCATATTCCATGAATCTTCAGGCTTTCATGATAATACTCAATTAAACATTAGAAGGTCTTTCAGGTTGTAGTACTCTGTCAATTTTCAAGAAACTTTCAGTGATCTGAATTATCTCAATACCACCATTTTAATGGCAGAAAGAAAGGACAAGACTGAATAGCATACATATGTATAGTTACCTAACACACACACACAAATGCATACAAGAATAAACAAAGAAAATTGAAAACAGAGGTTCTTTTCTAGTAAAAAAACCCAACTCTATAATATTCAGTAACACACATCTTTACAACACAGTCCCCAGTTACTCATGAACCTTATTTGTACAATGTTTGAAGAAAATGCCCTTTATGGCTGGCACCTCTCCAGTTCTGAGCTATGGAATCCAGAAAATTAACTGTCTTCAGATGCCAGTGACATTTGATCTCAACTGGAAACAAATGGATTTTTACAGGGTTTAGATTTTGTAGGATTTTAGGTCTCCACAGAAGTGGGACCTCAGATTGTGGCTGTACTTCAATCCTGAAAATGAACTTGGCATATTCTTCTGAACCATTCCTACAAAACCACAAGACTATGTGGCACAACAACCGAGAAGACCACGACTTAAACTTTCTTTTGTTCAATGAACACATAATACAAATACTGTGGATGGAATATAAGTTTTATATTGCATCTGAATCTACATTAACAAGGACAGATGTACATAAATGTACAGAGAGATGGACTGGATGTTGTTGTTAAATTCAATGGCAACACCAAAACAAACACAACTTAAACTAAACTAACTTCAAATGAACATGACTAAACCAAACTCAACTCTCCAAACTCGAAAAGGGCTGAAAGAATGTGAGCAACTTCATTCAGTTCTCTGAAACTCTGTACAACTTCCTCCAACTACACACAACTTTATAAAACTCAACAATTCTCAAAATTGCTATGCCACTATGAACAAATCTGGACAAATGAATAATTCTGTGCAGTTCTGTGAAAAACTAAGGAACACAACTCTTGACTCAAACTCCTAACGGCCAAAGTCAGTGCCAACATAAACTAAATCACAAATTACCCAAACACAGTCAGATACACAACTGGCTTGAACACAGATGTGCCAAACTGAGCAACAGTCAAGCCGTGGCATTTCAGGGCAGTACCCTAGAGCTTTCTGTAAATGCCTGGGAGCTGCCCAGGCACTTATTTTAAAGACAGTGATGTCAAACATAGACAGCATGGCCCCTGGGTATGAAGAAGGGAGAAAGGGGGGTTAGGCATCCTCAAGACATGAAGTATCACCCTCCGGGAAATTTTTACAAATACAGAACTTTTTTTGATTTCTGATCTCTCTGTTTTAGATGGAAGCGTCAGTCTCTATACGTGGCCTTTGTACATTTCTTGGGTTGTTTATTGTTCAAAACTGCATTTCCAAGCATAAAGTTCTTCGACATAGGAACACAAATCACCTCATATCATAATTCATGACATCTTTCAACACAGATTTGTGCGCCACACTGGCCCAGTGATGGATGTACCCCTGGTATAAAACTAACCTAATACAAACATAGATACACTTTGGACTTTGGAGGGCAACGATTGATCCTCGTAATTTGGGCACCAAATATATGAGTACATGTACATGACTTGAGAAAAATTCAGTTACACTAATCATCAAAACAAATGACCAAATTTATAAAAGTAGCATATCACTCCCTTGCCCACTATTGCTGTGACGTTTCTAACAACAGCGAAGCTCCGGCCGTTTTGACGAAAAGCATACGACAAGTAACGAATGAAAACATTCACGCCATATATGTATACTAAGAGTTCCATGGAGGTAGCATTATTTAATAAACACAACACGTACATTTCCAACATTTATGCCGAATTGCGGGATAAACGACGTGGTGCAACACAGCACCACGACAAATGTGGAAATTTTAATAAATAATCGTGTCTGGCAGTACGTACTTCCATACTTAAACCATAAATTTAATTCGCAAACATGCAAATCCTAACAAGCACCATTCGCATCAACAGCACGTCAGTATTACAAAGTCGAATATAATTAATGTACAATTCAATAACAAGCAAAAATACTACTTATAAACTTGTACAACCTACCTATACTTGTTCCTGAAGCTACGATCTCCGTGAAAGCTCAAGAAGTGTTCTATATCATATCATAATTCTTCCCTTTCATTCTCAAACCAATGCATCCAACGTAGGTCGTTGCTACTTACACCCCACACACACATAGTATTGTAACCATATTACAAATTGTCAAAAATGTTCTGCATTAGCACAAAAACGTATTAAAAAACACGCACAAATGACAGTCATTCATTAATTAAAAATCAAGTCTGATAAATGCCTATTAAGTTCACATCGACTCTTGATAACAAAATGCTACATGACACGGTCTGCTTCTGTCACCCCTCCCACAAGCCCTCTTGAACGAAGCCTCTATCACAAACAAAAGGGTAACTTGCAACGCTAACGTGCATTCTATACACCAGGCAGGTTTGAAAACAAATGTCTGGTTTTAAAAATTATGTTCCTTGCAGTACAAAAATTATCTGGGCACTAAGGCCGTCGTATTAATAATCCATAAAAAATGTCAACAAGCATAATACCACAAACCGTTCGTTACGGTCGACCAACACAAAGCGACTGCCAGTTTATTATACTTGCCACCAGAGCAAGACAGCAAAGTACATAACCACCACAGAGATACATAGTTATCAAAGTCGTCCAAAGATGACGGGAGTTTCGTACAATTATTTCAGTATCTAGCGTTCAAGGAAAGAACTAACAGTAACAATAAGAAAAGAATAATTTTTTTTTGTGGCGTCATCGTCGCGGATGCAAATGCGTTTTTCAACGTTGAATAATACTCGTGATAAAAAATCACCATATAATTTACCATAAAATATTTACTTGCTAAACTCTTTTGCTTTTTATGGTCAGAACACCATGTGTACAACTATACCTCATGAAGCAAAGTCAAATTCAGTACTGTCCAAGTTCAACATTTTGTGGCAAAGGCCTCTCCAGTATTAATGCAATGCAATGATGAAAGGGTGCCATAGGACTGATTATCATCATGTGTTTGTCCAGGTTTCCATAGGACTACCGCTTCATGTTTTGTTTTCTTGACCATGTTCCTTCCAGTTGTGATTCCACTTCACCGATTATCCTCTGATTCACTAATGCTCTATCCTAAATCTGCATATCTTTAGTCCTCCATGAATTCTGAGCAAATGTTCAGTATTTGGGTAAATTTTTCTCTTCACTCCTCTGATAGGAACTGCTCTGAAATTACACTTCACATTAAAATGACTGGCTTACAATGAAAATGAGTTGTGAACATTCAAAGCACGTTATTCACTGTGCAAAAATAAATGATACATGACTGGCTATGGTGCGCCAGCCCAAAGCTGAGCCTTGGCCTCCTCCCATGTGGGAGGTTTCTTTGTATTGAAGTGTGCATTTATGAGCAGTGAGTGACAAGCCCACTGCCTCTGCATAATTTCTACTCAATTCCTGATTTGTCTGCTAGAGCCATCTAGTAGTAAGTCAGGAGAGACTTGGGTGAGAAATGGCCGCTGAATTTTGCTTACGAAATATCTTGTTCATGCTTGTAAGGTTCTTTTACATGCCATAAATCTATGACATGGGACCGCCGACTTTACTTCCCCTCTGAAGGAAGTTGTGCTATGGATTAATATTACCCTTAATAAAACCTATCGACCTTGCCCAGGTCTAAACCCATGAACATTGGGTCCAGTGGCGAGTATGCCAACGGCTAGTCCACCAAGGGTGACACATGGAATAATTAGGATAATAATTTTACAGCTCACAATAAAACATTAAAGTTTGTGCGTTAAGTACAATCTGGTAATTCAGTTTACAATAGTAATATTACTATCACTTACTGGAGGGTGTTAGGAAGAGACTACCTATGAAGCAAAAATGAATTTATTTATTTACTTATTTTGTATCCAAATGAACACCATTCAAGGTAGAAATCATTAAATAGAGTAATATTAATAAATAAAAAAAAGTTGGGGAAAATTTAGTATAGAATAAATATAAAAGTAAATTTAGAACATATATACAAAACTATATTTGAAACCAATATCGGGCATGAAGAATGGCAGTGTCTGTACAGCAAAAATGAATGCAGCATTCTTACTCCTTCCAAGGGTTTAAAACTACTGGTCTTACAGTATAATTATGTATAAACATGGGAAAAGACAAGCTTCCTGGTAATACAGACACCTTTAAATGTATGGTAGAACTGAAATTTAAATTATTTTGACCAATAAACAATAAATTCATGACATTTTAAAAATTTTAAATCCATTATGACCCAATCTGATAAGCTGGGGTTTTGCAGCATGTAAGGAAAAATATATAGAATTTAGAATTAATTAATGTTTCTTCCATGACTTACTTTACTTTGAAATTTACATGAAGTATAAATCAGGTTACACACAACATCATACTTTTATAAAACTCGGTGCCATCTACTGAAAAGAAAATTAATGTCAAACTCACATAACAGACTAACACAATTGATCATGACAAGAATCTGAATGAAATTGAAAAATTCTACGAAGGTATATAAAAAATTTATCTTACATATGATACAAGAAATACGGTATGAAAATCATGCCAATAAATTAGCTGCTGAATTAGATAATTATCAATTTAACTCTTATTTCATTACACAACACACAAAGTTTAGTCTTTGTTACTGTAGTTAAAATACATTTACATAATTGAAACCACCAGATTTACTGTAATATCGAATACTGGCAATTTTTATATTAATTTTAATGAACAGCTTTGGACATTTTAAAGATAATTTAACTGGCTGCATCACTTCATATAATAATGTTTCATTTCTTTCCTAGTTCGCAGTAAAAAGCAACACAAAACCATCATTGAATAATCAAGAAAACCTAGTCAATCCCAGAACTGGCAATTTTTTTTTCTTCACTGTTCCCACTTGTGCCATTCCATGCCATCTGGAGCTTTCACTTCCACCTTCTCTCGTGCTACTTCATTCCAGTTGGTGCTAAGAACTGTTCCACCAGATTCTTGCTGCAGACAAAAATAAAGTACCATATATAAATCTGAAGTGTAATAAGCGAATAATATTCTTTTATTCAGCAAAAATTATGATATAAATAATCACTGAAGCCATTGCCAATAAATCTCAACCATATATTACATTTCTCCAGGTTAACTACCAGTGTTTTTAAACCTTTCCACTTTAGCTTTTAGGAAATGTTTTACAGCAAAACAAATTATAATTATAAACTACGTTCATATTATTTTTCATATTTCAACACACCTTTCATTTACATACCTAATTCCTAAAATATCTTCATAAAAGATTACACAGGTTAGTAGTGATTAAAAACAGTAAAAGAGAAAGCCAAATAAAATAACAACAGAAAATATATTCTTGAAAGTACAGCACATAAAGAAATATGAATAGTGCTAAGGCAGCAAAAGAATAACAAAGAAATGGCAGCAAAGGATGATAAAATAGTATAACAGGGTCCAAGTGTTGGCTCAGAGACCTATTCCAAACTCACAACATTCATTGTTTTCCTTAGTCTCTCCAGCCAAATGTTGGGATAGTATTCTGAAATAAATAACAAATTTCTTCTCATGTAGTTCAAAAAGCATCATTAAATAAACAGAGAATGAACTCAACTGTTTGTGGCAGAATCTTTGGCCTTGTAGTAAACAAAGTTATACCAAAATTTCACTGGAGGCAAGTTATGTAAAACAGGTTAATTCTAAATACAGTGAAAACTTAAACTTACAAATGATTTGTTCATAGCCCTTTTGACTTCATCAGATCCTTGTGAATAGATTTTCTGGAACAAAGCATTAAGAGCAGCATCTCCTTCTGGCTTTTCATCCCCTTCTTGTTTAGTAATATCTCCAACAATACGATCCCAATCTGTTGCTTTCGGAGCAGAACTGGGATACTTTGGAGGTCCAGCACTTAACACAGCTGCAATTTAATTAACACACATCAAGCATTCATCCTCAACACCAATTACAATGGAAAAGAGTATGCAAAAAACAGAATATATCAAGGTGTAAAACAAGGATACCCCGAGTCTCCAACACTGGTATATACAGTGAAAAATCCATTAATCACTACCAAAGCACAAAATTTAATAAAACTTAAGTAAGACATAACAAAAACTAATGAAGGATATTTAACTACAAAATTGATTATCAGGTAATTTTTACTAAGTCAGAGAACAAACAGCCATTAACCCACCTGAAGACACATGAGTGACTGAATAAAATATCACATAGTAAAACCACAACAATGGCATTTCAAGAGAAGCAATATGCTACATGCAAAATAATAGTGAATAATAAAATAATTAAGCAAGTGCCTAATTTTTATTATTCAGGATACAAAATACTGTATTGTCAAAAATGAAGATTTTAAAAAATAAATAAATTTCATATGTGTAGAAAAATATTTAAAAGCATACAATTAAAATTCTATAAAATAATGACAATGTTGAATTACCACTGCAGGAACTGGATAATAAATTGGAAGACAAAAAGAAAATAAGAAGATGGCAGAATATGCACAATGTCACCAAATGACAGATTTATTAGAAAAAGAGAAACTATAGAAGTTAGAAAGCCAGCTAATTCTGAAATATTCCAATGTATTATCAACCTTACAATTTGATACATGCACTGCAATAAGTCAAGAGTATTTGTATGTCTGCAACATACAAATCTGCAAAACATATTTAAGTTTGTAAGACATGTTTTGAAGTGATACATTAACCATTAACACATTACTGTAGGTCTCACTATTTTCCTAATAGTATTTGTAAACACTGTGACATATCACACTGTATGTTAAGCATTTTTGCCCCAAGTCCATAGAAATTTGTGTCCTTTTCATTCAACCACTGTGTCACTGCTTTTCCACATTCCCAGCAGTTATTGATCCGTGGCTCCTAGATGCTGCTTGGCTGTTGGAGAAGAGATTAAGTAAAAGACTTAAGGGGAAAACTGATAACAGAATGAAAACAATAGAACAACTTCTATAAAGTGGAGAAAGAAAAACTTATCCACAAGGACAAAATAACACTGTATTATTCATTCTGAAGAATCAATTATTCACTTCTGTGTATGTCTTGTAAACTTAATTTCCAACAGCACTTGTGAGAAAAATGATAGTCAGCCAAGAAATAACAGCCTAGTGGCACAAGTGATAGTCCATATCATGAAAGGAAAATGTTTGGTCAACAGAATGGCAAACTCCAAAACAAGTTCTATTCTGGACATACCTTCAGGCATGGGCTGTGCTACTTCAGAAGTTGTAGGATCTGCCTCCAGTGATGCCCACCTAATGCCATCATGCTTCTTTAATTTTATCTCTATCTGTGATAAATGTGATATATAAACACATAAATCTTTCTAAATACAGTAAAAATCAAGTACATATTACAACACAATTTTTATTCATTATGAAGGAGTAGACCTAAGTACTTCATGCTTTGGTCAAATCCAGAATCTTTACCTCCCCATCTACATTCCAAACACCTAAAGAAAAGAGTAAAACTAAATAACATTTTCCTTCTATTCATTGCTGCATAAGCTTACAGGTGCAAAACTTGTTCTCTCATTCAATAACTCATTACAGTGATATAGGTGGCATAATCTAAAATAAACTAGAGTAAAACATGTTTCTGATCAAAATCAATCTTCCACTTTTCTTGGGAATACAGTACTAATGACTGAAGTACTTATATAAAATTGCTTCTTCATTGACTGCTTTATATATGAACTGAACTTTATATAAACACCAAACAATTCAGTACAATAGCTGTAAACAGCTAAAAACTGATCAACAGCAAAATAACTAGGAGATATGTGGTTTCTATTCATCCTTCTGTAACACTACGACAACAGAGCTGTGAAGGCTGATGGGCTGGATATGAAGTATGAAATACAAGAACATTGCAAAATTTTGGTTGATAAACCTCACGGAAAGAAAGACCACTAATCAGATGCAGACACAGATGGAAGGCAATATATGAAAGAAAATATTATAAGAATGTGATATGCATTAAAATGGCTAGGGTCAAACAGCAAATTCTGTGACAGTATAAAAAGTGAAAGTTTAGAGAGAAGTTTCAAATAGCTGCAAATTTCAAATTACCTTTGAGGGTATAACTCTGAATGTTGACTGGCCAGGAATGACTGGAAAGGGTAGATTCAAGTTCAGATGATACTCAGAGCCATCTGTTAACTGTGCAGCAACATTAAGCTGAAACAAACATCACCATACAACCAACCTGGGAAAGAAAACTGAATAGCATATGATAAAACACTTGTAGCTACACCACAAGCATGTTCCCTTCGTTTGATTTCTAAAAAGTAGACCTCAGACAAGGAAATCTAACACAATCAACCAATAACTAAACAAATGGCTAGCTCTGAACAGAAGTGCTGATATTAACAAAGTGTATTCATGTTTCCTAGCATGAGATCCTCTCTACATACCTTAGATTTATTAAAATGTTGGGAGAAGTGTTTTGCTATCAAACGATTAAAATTAAGAAAATAGGTGACATCTCAACCATTATCTGCTAATATAAGAGACTGTAACTTAAAATGGTATCATTCTAAAGATGTTCATTTAACATCAAATTTTCATCTGCAGATATGCAGGACACTATATGGGAGGCAATTATGTCAAGCACCATGAACATCTACTTGGCTGATATATCAAATGTGTACCTATATTTTGAGGGAATATATGTGAACAACATAACTGTTTTCATGAATAATTTGTGCACAAAAATTTGCATAAATAACTCAGTACAGAAAATACTAAGTACTTCTGCAGAACAATTTAGAATATAATGGGCATGCACTTGGGTCTCTCCAGCATGCACAACAATTCAGTCCACAATTTCTGCATCATGGTATTAAAGTTATATAAAGTTCTTTCACATATGGGTATGAGACATAAGTACCTTAAGAACTTCTTAACCCTTTTTTTTTTAATTTATATCTTAATTGCGTCATGCTTGTGTTCTTCAATATAATAATTTTATTCACCGTCTTTACACAAGCTTATAGATTGTTAAAATCACATAAAATTATAACATTTCTTCATTTGATATTGTTATAATTTTATGTGATTTTAACAATCTATAAGCTTGTGTAAAGACGGTGAATAAAATTATTATATTGAAGAACACAAGCATGACGCAATTAAGATATAAATTAAAAAAAAAAGAGCCGTTCTTAACCCTTGAAGACCAGTGGTAACCATATGTACCACCTGA